TTCAATGCGCTTGAATTTTCAGAACCGGGCTCTTCCTAATTTGCATAATCCGTAATCGGCCCGTGGGCATTACGGCTGCATAATGGCGGCTCAGATCTCGCTCTTAGCCAATCAGAGCGCGCGTTATATCGGCCACAAGCCAAAGTCATATAATAATAGTTAATTATTAACCCTTTTGTAAGTCAGTGTAACACAGTGTAAGATCAAAGACTGCTTGTAGCACAATGCCCAGTCAGCCAATGCATCAATCTGGAATAATCTACTTAGCTTTAAAACGACATCGCTGAACTTGAGCTGAGCTTTAGAAGTAAAAAGCCCTTGAAGTGTCCGCTTATTGCAGGTTTTGTGCAACAAAATGGCTTAATACTGGTGTCCACCTCCGCTTAACAGAGGTGTCCGATGAATGCAGGTTTATTTTACAGTAAATGTGGGTAAAAAATTTTGGGACTCAAGCTGGTGTCCACTTAATAGAGGTTGTCCGCTTAATATGGGGTCCGCCGGCTTAATACAGGTTTCACTGTATTACCAAAACCCCCATTTATACTCTCATAAGGTTCAGCAAAGAAAATCGTGACCGAGAGAGCATTTGGATATCTGATCTTAATTAGCATAGATATTTATAATATCATTTCTCCGTTTTCGCCTTAGTTTTAGTTTCGATTGATCATGAGAAGACATATAAACAATGCCCGAAAGACCGTGTTTGACAACATTTCCAAACACCTTGAAGTTCGTCAAAAATACTCCGCTGCCAATCGTATTTTCATCTCTCTTGTCCGTGTTTGGAAATGTGGTCAAACATGGTCTTTAGTGTCTGATATATCTCAACAAGAGAAATAAATGTCACGTGCTTTATGTATAATAATAAAACCCACCCTGATCGAACTTTTTTCATTCCATCGGAGAAAGTCTCCACGTTGTGATCTTTCATGTTTTCATAAATCTTTCTAAGCCTTGCACTACTACTCTTTCTAAAGAAGTCCTCTGTGCTCGTGTCCTTTATAGTTCCAAATGTGAATCCTTCAGGTGGATCTACTAGCTGAGAGAAATAAAGAAGAGGAAATCAGAATTAAACTAGTATGAGTATTACTGAGGCATGCCGCAGCAGCAGTTATTTCCGTTTCACTACATTATTGGGGCGTCAGATTATCGCCATGTACATACGCCATGTTGGGCTCACTCAACGGTCAACTGAGGACATGAAGGATTCTTATTGCCCCTGCTTCGTTATTGGAGCTACCAGCGTTAAACTAATGTAAGTATCACTGAGGTATGCCGTGCTAGCAGTTCTTTCAGTTTCACTATATTGACACGTCAGTTATAGCTGTTAAAACTGATTATGTTCTAACCGACTAGGAATATTCTTTGATTGCATGCCTGTAGAATTAATCTAACGTTTAGAAAAGAAGTCTCTCTTTCGGTAGGAGGGCGCTTTCCTTTGTGGATAATTGGAAACAATCAAAAAGAAAATGTAGACAAAGTATTCAACTTTTAACAGTCACAAACTGAATATACCGAACTTACCTTTTCGTCCCCGATGCCTGATACGACAGTGATGTCTTCCACAGTGATGAGAGAAGCCAGTAAGTTGGCCGTGTACGAGCTCACTAACACTAGGGCTGCAAAGTTCGCTACTACCATCACAACAGGAACGGAGTAAGTCTTGGCCTGAATTTTCGTGAGTGGTACATGAAATATGTTACCGTAAACGTAAGCCACGAATTCGAAGGGTAAAAGATACGGACTTCTATGTTCCCTGTAATAATACACTTTCTCTATTCCCCATACGGTTATTGCAATGGCACAGAAAGCTGCTAAACATGTAAACCACAACTCCATGCTAAAGGATTTCATAAGTCGCATGTCGCTTATTGTTTGCGCAAAATTTCTAGGCCTCGATTTAAACCGCTTGACCAGGAACTTCAGCGAAGTTCCGATGTAAGGAGTCGTGAAACCGACGTACTCCGAACGCTCTTCGGTGATCGTAATCACTGCGAGAGCAAGATCGGCAAATCCTCGGTAAACATCGCCGATCATTCCGTTCATTTGTTTGGTGTCCGGGTCCAGGGATCCATATTTTCCATCCTTGACTAGGTAAAGATCGAACGAGAACTCTTCAGTTTCTAAGATTTTTAACAAAATGTCGATCATAACACCGTAACAGCACAGGATTTTCGAGGCACCTTCGCTTTGTTTCCACAATCCTCCGTGAGCCGTGTTTGAGGAAGTGTGGCTGCCGTTATTGAACTCTCTACAAGGGACTGTGTTAGCCGGACAACTCGTACCCAGTCTACTGCTGTAATAGACGTCGTGGATCGCTGTGAAAGGCTCGTGTTTAATGGTCACTATTCTCAAGTGGCGCGGCTTGGGTAGGTCCTTTGGTAAGAAGGCCTTTAGATTATGTGGGCCGTCATCATGGATCCATTCTGGACAAGCATGTCCCATGACGTGCCAAACTTGTGCCTCTTCGTGCTGTCGCACGGCCTTGACGATGGTAAATCTGAATGAGGTTCGTTCCCCGTTGCGACTGAATTGGACTGGTCCCGTTTGGCCAGGGAAACTCTGACATACCATTTCCCTGCAAAATATGTCAATGTCGATGAATTTCATAGCGCAACCTTCAGACGTATACTTCAGCGTTATAATCTAAGGTGCAACTTATTAAATCACGTGATCGCCTTGAGCATATACTACAAGTGCACCCAAATGGACAAAATTATGGAGAAAAAGCGTCAGATTATCTATCACTATCAAACTATCCGAAACATCCTCGACGTAGACTAAAATTTGGGTTGAGTAAAATGAGCCACTGGAAAATCACTGGAATAATAAAATTTTTTGAGAGAGATTTTCATGAGCTATTAATATGTTACTCCGAATGACGTTATATTTTCAGTTGTTGCGCAAAACGCCCAATCCATTTGACACACCTTGTGGAGGCCTGTAATCTAGTCCACCCTTAACTTAACATGGTTTCAGTTTAAGATTTTTGTTAGACGACACACGCATTAATAATCCATCAAATATTTTCGCTCGAGCACTATTGGTCTGAACGCATCACGTGATTGAATATGCCCCTGCTAAACCTAAGGAATATTCGAGTGATTTTCCCCAATTTTCAAAACTGCGTGTGTTGCAAAAAAAATATTTGAAGGATAATGAACACAGTAGCCTCTATTTGGTGCGAAAATATGCTCGGATATTTGTTTCGATTTGTCCTTGGACATTATCTGTTCCTCAAAGCTCACAGTTTTTTCCCCGAGCTACGCTCTCGAAAAACTGTTCGCTTCTCGGAACAGATAATGTCCGCGGACAAACATCTAAGCATATTTTCACGCCAGTTGAGGCTATTTTTTTATATATATATTCATTTATTACCTGTAAATCTGCCTTTTGTGAGTGGTAAAAAGCTCCCCCTTCAGACGTTCCAACTTTGTTCTGTGCGTTAAGCCAGTGACCGCGTTCATCAAACCGTTGGCAAATAGTTTCACCGAGTCTTCTAACAGTCTTTTGTATAACGTTAACATACTGGCATTTCCAATCCCTTGAGCGATTTCTATGCCAAATGAGCCTTCGGGAAAAGAACTTGCGTCCGCAGTAACAGCTTTATCAGTGAAAATCCACACAAAATCTTGTCCCAGCAATTTAAACCTGAATTTTCTCGCGAGCGCTATTATGGCAGTACTCTCATTGCTCTTACAGTGTACAACGAGCACCCGCACGCCGCTTGCACTGATGGCTGCTAATCCAGCGCTGAGTTTTTCCATCAGATTGTCTTCTCTGAGAATAATGCACCTTGGTGAGGCCGCTTGTCGGCCATTGTTTACCGTGTAGTGGGCGAGATTAGAAAACAGGGCATCGTTCCGTGATGTTTCAGTTGTGATACAAGCGAACCGACTTTCCTCGAATTCTAGCATCAATTCCTTGATGACAGTGGCTTGTAAAGCATCTGTCGGAAGCATTGACAGATATAAGGCACCTTCCTAGTGAGCAAAGAAGAACATGCATTTTTAAAGTTTTATTTGTAGACTATAGAGGAAAGGCCCGGTTCCCACCGGAAAATCCGGTTTTTTTCTTATAAATGGGATGCGCTCCTCGTTTCAATAGACTAAATGTGGTTCTTAGTCTGGTCTAAATTCATATTTCCTGGTGTTCACGATTTCTTTATCGTTAATTTTTACTGGAGCTACAAAGCTCAAACGTATCGAAAAAGTGGATCAAAGTCTTAAGCCTGATGATGAAGCTCTGGTGTGTGACCTGCAAAAGAAATCTTTTGAGCAGCACTTCCATGTGGTACTGGGAATATAACGTTGAGTTTGCTGATGAATCACTGGTGTGCGACCATTCAAACAAAGAACGTCATCGTGTTTAAGGTTATTCCCCAGTATTGC